TATCACGACAATTGCTACGATAATAACATCATTTTCTTCACTGAACTTTAATAGATAACGAACTTTGTTTAACACATTGCTGTTGTTATTATCTTAATTTGAAATTTTTGTGAAATTATAATTTAATTAATTATCTTTTTTTTTAAAATAAAGTTGAGAAGAGTTGACAAATAAATAATCAAAAAAATAATAAATTTACCACAGATATTTATTTGTAAAATAGTAATAATAAAGGTAAGTAAATAAAATATGCAAATAAATGATTGAAAAAATTTATTTAATTAACCTCCAAGCGAGTTAAACTTCCCAAATCGGCAACGGACATACTACCGAATGCCGCCGGTAAACCACTAAAAGCACTCATTGATGGGCTTTTGTAAAGCGCAGCAGAAGGACTTCGATACAATGAACCGGACATTGTTTTTGCTTCTTCTTCTTCTTCTTCGTCTCACTTATTCTTCTTCCTTAATTAATGTTAAGCTAATTATGCTATCATTAATTTAATTTAAAGGAAAAGAAAAGGAGAATGAGATTTGTTCTAGAAATGATAAATCAATCAAGAAATTTAACCTATCCCAATAAAATGAGGAAAAAATATTTTGTTAGGATTTGCAAATAACCTGAATTGAACCAAAATGAATATTGTATAATATTTGAGAAGTAGATCGAAGTACTTTAGTAATATTCTATTACTGGAAAAAATAAGAAGGAAATATAAGTTTCGGCAAGAAAATATGCAGGAAGAAAGGAGGCAACCAGAATATGTCTGATAAGATAAAATGAGGAAAAATTAGAAGATGATAAGATGGAAGAGAATGATAGAATGGTAAAAAAAAAAGAAAAAAAGGAAAAGAAGCAATTGGAAGTGTTATTTAGTTAGAGTTAACTGTGTAATAGATATTTTTTCATTTTTAGTAAATATACAAACTTTTGTTCTTCTTTTTTTTTTTCGAAAATTTTAAATGAAAAAAATAGCATAAACAAACGTACAATGAATGGGAGATAAAGTAGAAATTTGAATAGAAATACACGTAAACAGTACACGTATGAATGGATGGATGGAGAAGATGCTGTAATCCGTAAAAATGAGGAGAGAGAGAGAGAGAGAGAGAGAGAGTAAAGGAGAAGTACAGGTGTGAACGGTGATTGAAACTGATGCAAAATTTTAAAGCAAAAGCAAGAGCAAATTACCACCCATCCAACCAAACAACAGCCAACATATAAGAAATGAAGAAGAAGCGGGGGGAGAAACGGGGGAGTGAAGATAAGCAGGTAATGAAATAGGAAGCATTGAAGTGGTAGCAAAGTGTAAAATTTCAGAACTGATTCATCGAAAAGCTTCCTGAAGAGATGGAAAACTTTAGATCCGTTCTTCATTTCTATTCTTTCCTATCTATCCTTCTCCTCCACCTACTCCTCTTCAACCTCTTCATCCTCAATCTCATCCAACTTTCCTTCCTACAATTACAATCGTATACATCCATCCAATCCATTCATTCAACCGATCAGCTAGCTTGATCAGCATTTACTTCAAGATAGAAAATGTTGATGATATATATATATACACACACACACAGTCACAAATGCTGGTAGAAGAAGAGAAAGAGATGAAGACAGATGGATTAAAATATGCTATTATTAACAGAGGAAAAAAAAACATAAAACGAGAAGGTGAAAGAAAAAAAGATAACTAACTGAAGATTTTAAAATCTCGACATTTATTTCTTTTTTTTAAAACATTTTCTATTTTTTTTT